GCGGGTGGTTGGTCGCGGTTGCCCGCGGTCTGCCCGGGGCGGCGGGTGCGGCGGGCGGCGGGGGTGGCGGCCGTCGTGGGCGTGGTGGGGGTGGCGTGGGTGGTGGGGTGGTGGGCATGGTGTGGGTGGTGGGGCTGATGGGTGGTGGGGCTGGTGGGTGGCGGGCAGCGCACGACGTGAAGAAGGACTGCATGAGGTTGGTGTACTTTTGAGGGATGTCGTACTTGGCCTGGGCACGAGGAGGCGGAGGCGTCGCGGCAGGCAGCGGAGGCGACGAGGAAAGGTGCGAGGAGAGTGTCTGAGGAGAGTGTGCGAGGAGTGTGTGTGTGAGAGGAGAGGAAAGCAGTGACTCGCGGCGCGGCACGGGTTTTGGAGGTGGACGGAAGCGGAGAGGCGAGAGCAGGCGGAGGCGGCAGCGGCAGCGCTCTCGGCGGAGCCGTAGCGAGCAGGAGAGGCGGCCCACTGCTGCGTGGCCGAGCTAAGCGGCTGCCTGCGCCGCGGCCAGCTTGGCTGCAACCCGCTCCCCGACAACCTTCTCTGCTGCGGCCTGCTTCACCTGCGGCGGCTGCCCACGGTGAGAGGCGGCCGACGAGCTGGAGGCACCATATCGCTGCTGTGCTCCGGAGGCGAGGCGGCGGCCGGCCTGGGTGCACTCACCGCCAGCGCTCCATCATCCGCGAACTTCTTGAGCTGGTCCATGATCATGACAGGAGCGGCGGTGCGCACTGCGGGTGGCCGCGTGGCGACCGCGGGCCTCACCGCGTCGGCGGAAGCGAGCAGTACCGCTACGACGAGGCATCTTCTGCGGTCAACCACCATCCTCCGTTCCTAGGAAGCTGCTGAATCGAGGAATCTAGAGGTGTTTTTCTTTTTCGTATGGATCTTCGAACACTCACCCATTGAATTGTCACTGCCCGTGAGTGCGAGATAGGGCTAGCCGCAGGCAGCTAGCCCGTGAGGAGAGCGTCCATAGACACCTCACTTAGACCCCACACACGGTCTCGTCCGTGCCTCGCCGGCCGGAGAGATTGCTGGAGGTAGAGCAAGCCTGCTCTAGCCTCGCATGTCACTTCCTGTCGTCTGTTGTGTCGTTGTGCCCTTGTTTGTTTCTCTTGGCACCGTGGAGTGCTGGGGGGGGCGACAGGGAGGATATGGCCTTGAGTTATGTGTAAGCCGACTCAGGGTGTGTGGCAGCCCGCTGGCTGTGTGTCTTGTGAGCTTGTTTGTGTCTGTGTGTCGCTCGTGCGTGTCGTCATCATCTGTCTAGCGTCCACCCATACCGCGTTGGTGTCCAGTCCGAGCCTGGCTGTTCTTCACCTTTCTACCTACCTACCTAACCTACAACGCTGTCTCAAGGTCCGACAGGTTCGGCACCGGGCACCGCCTCGGTATACAAAATGCGCCTGCGGGCGGACCCTCACAGATCACCTACCTAACCTTCGATGCTAATTCGGCTGATGTGCTCGTAGGACGTACAGCGTCTAGCGAGCGAGGTGTGGTCGTCGGTAAAGAGAGTAGAGCCAAGATGGACACAAGAACACACACGCAGCCACCGGCACACACAAGCAATCTCCAATCACACGCGCTCTGATCCCCCCGCTCTCTCGATCTCGCGCTCGCCCCGGCGCGCGCTCCTCTCACAGCGACACCGACCGTCCACCGTGCGTGTCGCACGTAGTCAGATATTCTCCCGCGCCGCGCCCTCCGCCTCCGGCGGCGGCGATGCCTCCCGCGCCGCGCGGTGCTCGGCCGCGGCGGCCGCCGCCGCGGCGTCCGCGTCCGGCGCGAGCACGGCCGCGCCGACCAGGCTGCCCGCGCGCGAGTACGGCATGCTGCCCGCGGCGGCAGAAGCGGCGAGCTCACCGATGAGCGCCTGCACGCCTGGCATGCCGCCGAGCCGGTGCAGCACGTCGGCGCGCGCGTGCTCCCAGACGCGCGAGACCGCCTACCGGAAGGCTCCGGGAAGGTTCAGGGAAGGCGCAGGAGGAAGGGGCTTCCGAGCAGTGCTCCCAGACACGAGAGTCGGCCTGCTCCGCCCGGCGCGCGCGCAGCGCCCCCGCACGCCCCATCGTCGCTCTGAACTCCTCGATCACGTCTGCCACCGCGGCAGCGCTGCCCGGGTCGTGCATCGACGAAGTGATCACGCGCGGCGCCCAGGCGGCGTCGCGCGGCCGCAGGACAGACAGGGCTGCCCGGATGTCCTGGGCCGCCGCCTTGGCGACCGGCTTGAGCGCGCCGTCGCACTTGGTCACCACGACCAGGTCTGCGAGCTCCATGATGCCTAGAGACGCCTCCGCCGCCTCACACACGCGTGTGCTCGAGAGGCGGAGGCGGGAGCCGTGTGTCGCGGATGCCGCGCTTGATGCCCTGCAAGCCGTCGCCCGCGCCGGGAGGCACGAGCAGCACGAACATGTCCACCAGCCCCGCCACCACCACCTCCGACTGCCCGACGCCCACCGTCTCGACGACGACTCGGTCGTACCCGCCGCTCTCGCACAGCAGCGCGACGTCCTCTGTCCGGCGCGCGACGCCGCCGAGGACGCCCTGCGCGGGCGACGGGCGGATGAAGGCGGCGGGGTTGGCCGACAGCTGCGGCATCCGCGTCTTGTCCCCCAGCACCGAGCCGCCGCTCCGGTGCGACGACGGATCGACGGCGAGCACCGCGAGCCGGTGGCGGCGCGAGGCGAGCTCGAGGCCGAGCGACTCGATGAGCGTCGACTTGCCGGTGCCCGGCGGCCCCGAGATGCCCAGCCGAAGGCAGCGCGACGCGTCGCGCTGCGGCAGGACGAGTGAGAGCAGCTCGTCCGCCGCCTCGCGGCTCGCAGGCTGCGTCGACTCCACGAGCGTGATCGCCTTGCTCAGCGCTCGCCGCTCGCCCGCGACGAGCGCCGTCGCCAGCGTTTGAGCCGTGGCGCTCAGGCTCCTCGCCGCCGCCATCGCAGAGCAAGGAGCGAATCTAACCGGGCCGGGGCTGCGGGGAGAGGCAGGGAGAGAGCGGAGGAACCGTGGAGGAACCGCGTGGCGGCGGGCGGGGGGGTGGGGCGCGGGCCAGGAGGTCGCGCTTTTCTTTTGCGAGCAGGGGAGTCGGTTTCGTGTGTGTGTGTGTGTGTGTTCACTCACACGAGGCAGTATCCACTTAGCTGGTTCGCTCCAAACGCGCGAGCGTTGACTGCGCAAGCGGATGATATTCAGCGCCAAACCCGAGGAGGTCGCAGCGCTGCGTCACAGAAGCCTCAAAGACAAAGTCGACCCAACCGTGCGGTAAGATCGAGACCGCATTTGCGATTTAAGGCCCGACTTCTTTTCTGTCCCACGCAACACCCGCGATGGCTACGTGCCGCCTGCAGGGCATGGGAGGCAGCGGTTCGTGCCAGCTGGCCAGAACGTGAGCTGAAATCTCTACGGTACAGCAAACTCCACGTCATAAGCGGCGAACGAGGCACGGTCGCTCTCCGACATGAGGCGCGTTGCACTTGCCAGTGCTGCCCTGGCCTTCTGTCTGCCCGCCCAATGGGAGGCAGGTGCCTCTGCTGCTGTGGCATGCCTCACGGCTGCGACTGGCCGGCGCCTCGGCGCGTCAGCTCGGCTCGGCGTAGCGATAGTGGCCAGCGCAACTCGCCTGGACTCAACGCTCAGCCAGGAGCTCCCGCACGCGCTGGCGCGAGTCATGGCGCATGCAACGCGCAGCAATGCTCGCCTCGCCTCGCGCAAATGCGACCGTCCTCGCAGCCGACAGTCCACCGCCTGCTAAAGAAGCACTGCGACGAATGCGGCACCGGCGACGCATGGCAGGCTGGTCATGACGCAGTTATAGGGTGTTGTGTGTTGTGTGCCGTCAGAGTGACTCTCTGTGTGTCAGGGATAGTCAGGGCCGTCCATCAGAGCTCCAGTAAGCTCGGAGACACCCCATTAGTGCGACTCGACCTCTTTGAGTCACTGCCCGCTTCCCGGCGGGTTGGCTGTAGAGCCTCTACAACAAACTCTACAGCAAAATCGCGCTCTACATCGCTCTACAACGCACCCGCCTCGTCACGCGGCGGATGTAGAGCTCTACAGCTCTACAGCGCTCCAGAGCGCTCTACATCTCTACAGCTCTACAGCGCTCTACACTCTACATCCTCTACACCCTCCCTCAGTGTGGACTGCGATGCGATGAGTGTGTGTGTGTGTGTGTGTGTGTGTGTGTGTGTGTGTGTGTGTGTGTGTGTGTGTGTGTGTGTGTGTGTGTGTGTGTGTGTGTGTGTGTGAGTGTGAGTGTGAGTGTGTGTGTGTGAGTGTGTGTGGTGTGCTCGTGTCAAAGATAAAAATACTTTGTTTGGCGAGCCAACGCAGCCGAGAGATAAAATCTCCGCACAAGAGCCTAGCGCCGAACTCCCTCCTGTTCGCTGCGCAACCCTGGCGCACTGCCGGCTGAGGGCCAAAAGTAAAACGCGCAACGCCGCTCTCGGCTCTCAGAGAGGCGTTATATCTCAGTAACCCCGCTCGCAGGTACTAGAGCAGCGTTCGTCAAGCTCAAACCCCACTCTACACAACACAGAGCAGCGTTTGCCTAACAAGACTCCGCTCTGCAACCTTCAGAGCGGACTCTTGCTCAGAAAAACACCGACCGAGCACGTTCGAGCGGAGTCAAGTCAGTGCAACACCGCTCAACATAGCGGGAGCGGTCAATTTCCGCGGAGAGGCTGCTTTTGCCTCCCTCAGTCGCGCTCTCCTCCGCCCCTCCTCTTCAGAGCGGGACTTTGCTAAGTGAACACCGCTCTAGCTAGTAAGAGCAGCGATTGCTTTAAGCTGACACCGCTCTAAATGACGTGAGCGGCGTATCACTAAACGCGACGCCGCTCTGACTACTCGGAGCAGTGACGACCCACCCACACGCTGCTCAACCCCAGGGGCGGGGCTCGCCACGCCGCGCCGCGCGCCACGAGCGATCGTGGATCCGCCGTCGGCGTCAGGTGGCATCGCCGTCCCGGCGTCCCAGAGCAGCGTCTATTCAGGGCGACGCCGCTCACGTCATTTAGAGCGGTGTCAGCTTAAAGCAATCGCTGCTCTGACCATCTAGAGCGGTGTTCACTCAGCAAAGTCCCGCTCTGAAGAGGAGGGGCGGAGGAGAGCGCGACTGAGGGAGGCGAAAGCAGCCTCTCCGCGGAAATTGACCGCTCCCGCTATGTTGAGCGGTGTTGCACTGACTTGACTCCGCTCGAACGTGCTCGGTCGGTGTTTTTCTGAGCAAGAGTCCGCTCTGAAGGTTGCAGAGCGGAGTCTTGTTAGGCAAACGCTGCTCTGTGTTGTGCAGAGTGGGGTTTGAGCTTGACGAACGCTGCTCTAGTACCTGCGAGCGGGGTTACTGAGATATAACGCCTCTCTGAGAGCCGAGAGCGGCGTTGCGCGTTTTACTTTTGGCCCTCAGCCCGCACTGCCGCGGTTGATTTTTTCTCACCTCTCAAACACGCAAATATGCTCCTCTTCGGTTGCCTCTCGGTGCGCGTGCCGCCGTCGCTGAGCCGGCGCGAGGCCATGTCCTCCCCGCTCGCCGCCGCTGCCGCCGCCTCGCTCGCCGCCGCGGGCTCGCCCTGGCCCGCCGCCGCCGTGGTGGCCGACGGCGTCACCTACGACGACCTGCCTCCCAAGGCGCAGCAGGCCTACCAGCAGTACTGGCCGGCGCTGCAGCTGGCGGCCGACTCGTACGTCTTTGAGCTCTACGACCTGCTCCCCGAGCCCGGCCGGTGGGACTCGATTGGCGCTATCACGGAGTCGACCGACATCGGCTCCGCCGCCTCGGTCTCAAAGCTGGAGCGCGAGTACCTCACTCCGATGCGCATCCTGGCTCTCGCCTTCCCGCCCGACGCGGGCGGCGAGGAGATGCAGGCGGCCCTCAACAAGTTCCAGGGCAGCATGTTTCAGCTCTCGCGGCTGGCGCGAGCCGGGCAAAGCCTCTCTCCTCTCGCGCGCGCGCCTGGGCTCCCGCCTAGACGCACCCGGGCCGTGCGAGTAGGCAGACGACGGGGAACGTCGCCGCGCCGAGCGCCAAGGAGGTTGCGGCGGTCGAGAAGACGTGGGACGACGGGCGGACCGCCATCAACTCCTTTTTTGAGGCGCATGCCAGCTCCCCATGCCAACTCCCCGCCGCCCGCCGCCCGTCCCTGCCGCCGCCCCTGCCCCCGCTCCCTGCCGCCGCCGTGGCATTCCGCGCGCCGCCGCGCCGCTCGCCTCGCCCTCGCCGCCCTCCGCCCCACCACAGTGCTCCCCTCCCTCTCTGCGGCACGCCTGCGGCACAGGCGCTCAACTCGGGCACTGCCGGCGCTGCGTCTGCGAGCGGCAAGGTCGCGCCGCGGCTGGTTGGCATTCCGCCCAAGGGCGCGGGCTACCCGCGCTCCAAGAAGCTGTACACGCAGCTGCGGAAAGACGCCGCGCTCTGCCGCAACCGCGGCGGCGAGGCGCTCGCCGGCTTGTGGGGCAACTTGATGGTGTACGGCACGGTGCCGGGGGTCAACCCTTGCGGGTCCGTCAACATGGCAAACTATTTTGCCCAGTGAGGAGAGTATGCGGGAGGAGGCATCTCGCGCCCGGACTAGCATGCGCGCGCAACACCGGCGGGGGGCGTGTCTGGCGCGGGCCTCTTCTCCACTCTCTCGCCTGATACGTTCTGAGAACGACACCGGTTGATGTTGTTGATTGTGTGACTGTGATCGCGTGCGCGGCGGTCAATGAGTGACTCTATCTACTCGTTTCGACACCGACACCGCACACACAGCGCGCACACGCTGCGCTCGCCTCGCACCTTCACTCTCTCCTGTCCTCGCGTCGGGTGTGTGTGTGCTCGGGTGCTCGCGGTGCGCGTGTCGCGCTGGCGGCGCCGCGTCCGGCGGCCGCAGCAGCGCGGTGCGGCGGTGCCGGTGGCGCTGGCGGGCGGTCGGCGCGGCTCTCGAGACACGACGAGCAGAGCCTCGCAAAAGCGGTACCGGCGACCCGGGTGTGCGGACTGCGCGCCGCGACTATTGGTTTTCGATGAGCGGCCGTTTCAGGAGGTTTAGTCAGAAAAATAGAAATCCCTGGCTCCTCATGGCCTCACGCGGCTCACAAGCTCAGCGCCATGCTGGCTTCTTCCTCCCCTGGAGCTGCTGCTGCGGCTTCATGGACCTGTGCTGGTGGTGGTAGAGCTCATTGATGTGCGCAAAGGGGGTCTCTATCGACGCCTGGCTCTGCAGGGCGGAGGGAGCCATGGCGTGCAGGTCGGACATGCTCGACAGCGTCATGCCGGACCACGCGTGCTCTCGACTCGCTCGAACGCCGGGGTAGGAGGTGAAGAGAGGCTTGTTGTCGGCCCCATCCGCGCCCTGGTACCCCCACGGTGGGCGGACCGCCCGATGCGCCGCCAGCTTGCGTCGCGTTCGAGAGTTGCGCTGGCGCTCCAAGCATAGCTTGTACTCCAACACCTTCAGCGTTGCCGGTTTGGCCGTGGAGGCAGCGGCAGCTTTCGCTGGGAGTCGCCCCCTCGAGCTGGCGGCCGCCACCGTGCAAGGGCGCGTCTCTGCTCGCGCGGCTCTGACATCCGGGGTGTGGGCATCCCTCCTGTCTCGCCCGCTGCTGCAGGTGGCCGTAAACGGTCGACCCGCTTCCTCCCTTACCTCTGCCGCCAGGGAGCCACCGCATCCCCTGCCGCCGTTTAGCTCCCTCACCGCATGCTCTGCCGCCGTGCAAGGCCGTGGCGCCGCCTGATCCCTCGCAAAACTTGCAGCCGCTGCTGTGGCAGGACGAGGGGCTGTGTCCTTCCCGCCCGCTTCATGCAGAGCATACGGAGGCGGCGCTCGCTCCACCGGCTGTGGTCCACGGCGCTCACCCTCCGCTGAAGTTGATGGCCTTGGTGGGAGCGCATGCGCTGCGTGGGGTGTCGCCGCAAGGCACCGGAGCGCACCGGCCGCTGGGGACGCCTTTCGCCGTTGGAGCAGCTGGCGCTCTCGAACTGGGCTGATTGAGTCGAACAGGTTGAGCGCCCAGCGGCAGTCTGCAATGCTCGAAGCTGACGGCGAGAGGGCCAGTGCTGCCGTGCGGCCGGATCGATCCTGCAGATCGAAACGCGCGAGCCCGTCGCCGCAAGTGTCGGCACTCGGCTCTGGCCACGAATGCGAGTAGCCTAGCGTGTGCCCCAGCGCGTGGCGCTGTAATAGAGCATGTGTGTGGACGATACCGGGAGTCGGAGTCGTTTCACTCACCTCGATAAAGTCGAAGAAGAATGGCTCTCACCCTGTGTACCTTCCTACATACATACATACCCTGTGTGGTGGCGGCGTGCCGTCCTCCCATCCCTCCCTTGGGTTGTCTGTTTTCTTTCTTTCTTTCGGCCCTTTCCCTGCGAACGCGCACCCACCAGGGCTAGGGCTCTCTAGCGTCTAGCCCGCAACCCGATCCCGATCATCCGGCCCGCTGGGTGCGCTTCTTCTCGTGGCGGGGCCCCGAATTCCCCGTTTCTTTTCCCCCTCTAGAATACGCCGGTGGTGTGCCCCGTGTGGCACCCCGACCTGTTGTCTCACCCTGGCCCCCAAGATCGTTCGTTGGTCGTCACATTGTGACCCCCGACGTCGTCAAATGTCGCTCGTCTGTCCTTCCCCCCTAGTGTCGTGCGAGGGAGTTTTCTCGTAAAATTCTTTTCGCCATCCGAGACCGGCCAGGGTATCGCTCAAGAGGTGCGATACTGCGGGGGAGTGTAAGGTGCCTAGAGCCGATTTGGGTTGCTCTCGAATGCCGGTCGGACTCGATGTGCATCTTCATCGGCGATCTGTATCTGTATGGGCTTCCAGTATCGGACCTCAAGAAATGAGAAATGCGGTTTTGAGGTGACTTCTCGGACATTTCCGCCTAATCGGACATGAAACTAATCGTTGTGGGCGGCTCCGGCTACCTAGGCGCCCGCGTCGTGCGCCAGGCGCTGCTGCGAGGCCACTCCGTCACCTCCATCTCGCGCTCTGGCGGCCCGCCCGCTGGCGTCACTCCCGCGGCCGAGTTGGAGGGCGCCGAGTGGGTCGCAGGCGACGCCACCGTCCCAGAGGTGCAGGCGCGGGTCGGAGACGCCGACGGCGTGATAACAACCCTCGGTGTGTTTGGGACGAATGAGCGGATGCGCGCCGTGAACGGCGACGCCAACATTGCCATCGCCCGCGCTGCCGCAGCCGGCGGCGTGAAGCGGTTCGTGCACGTCTCTGCCGCAGAGTACGGCGTGATCGAGGGGCTGATCCCCGGATACTTTGAGGGGAAGCGCGCGGCGGACGCGGAGGTCGCCCGCCTCTTTGGCTCGCGCGGCACCGTCCTCCGGCCAGGCATGGTCCACGGGACGCGCCAGGCGGGCCCCGTCCAGCTGCCTCTCTGGCTGCTCGGCGCGCCTCTCGAAGCGGTGGGAGCCTCCCAGCCGGGTACGGCGCTCCGCGCGGCGCTCGGCCGCTTCGGAGGCGTCCTCACGCCAGCGATCGGCGTCGACACCGTCGCCGCCGCCGCCGTGGCGGCGGCGACTGGCGCCGGCGACGATGGCGCCGGCGGCGGCAGCGAGGCGGCGGGCGGAGACGCTGCGGCTCGGACCCTCGACTACGGCGGGATGGTCGACTTGGCGAGGTGCGAGGCGCGCGCCGCGGGGCCGGTGGTGGAGCTCTTTTGGGACGGCGGCTGCCCCCTCTGCCGGCGCGAGATTGGCTATTACCAGAGGCTCGACGTCGACGGGCGCGTGGCGTGGACAGACATTGACGCGGCGCCCGAGGCGCTGCAGCCGCACGGCGTCTCGCAGGAGGAGGCGATGGCGCGGATCCACGCGATCGGAGGCCGCGGCCAGCTCCTGAGCGGCGTCCCCGCCTTCCTCGCCGTCTGGGAGCAGCTGCCGTACTGGCGCCTCCTCCCGCCGCTCCTCACCGCCGCGCCCGGCGCTGTGCCGCTCGCCGAGGCCGCCTACCGACTCTTTGCGCGGCACCGCCTCACAGTCACGGGGCGCCGCTCCCTGGGCGCCGCCACGGCTTGTAGGCCGCCGTCCGCTGCAGCGCCCGCCGCAGGCTCCGCAGAGCCGAAGTGAGAGGCTCAGTTGGCGCCACCTCAGTGGACACCTCTCAGCGTCGCCACCAGCGCAGGCATGCTGGCCGGAGAAAATGCCACGCACGTCGATCCTAGAGAGGATACACGTCGCGCTCACCGCGCTCAAAAGGCGGCCCCTGTCGTGGTACGCGCCGGCGTGGGGAGAGAGAGCGAGACGAGGACTCGAGACGAGATATGTGTGGGGAGAGCCGAGACGTTCCTGGATCCTGCTTCCTCGTTTCGCACGCACGACGCACCGAGTGTGACCGAGCCCGCGGGGGTGTACCCGGCGCTTAGGTGTTAGAGTAATACGTAAACACAGGCGTGGCGGTACAGAAATAAACACTGGCACAAAACCGGACGCGCAACCGTGCAGTGCTCCGCCGCTTGACGAGGGGACAACTCTTTTGAATCTTGAGCGTCTCTCGCAGCCGCGGGGCGGGTTTCTCCATAATCGCACACAACATGCGTCTCAGGTTGAATTTCCAATTTCAGAGCTTGGGCAGCGGGAAGCTCTCCGGCGCCCACTCGATCGGGTTTGGGATGGAGAAAGTGTCGCCCTTGCCGAAGCCGAGCAGCGACTGTGCCGAGAGCTGGACAGGGAAGAAGCAGCCCATGCAGGCAGGCGTGATGCAGCCGAGGACGCGGAACTGGTTTTCAACGCCCTGCACGTGCATCTGGGTGAACTTGAGGTTGAGGTCGTTGGGCGCCTCGCCGTCGCCGCCAAACGGCCGCCACTCGCACTCTACCTGCTCACGGTGAGAGAGAGGTGGGAGAGAAAGGTGTGGAGAAAGAGGTGAGAGAGAGGTGTGAGGCGAGAGAGGTGTGGAGAAGTGGGTGTGAGAGAGAGGTGAGGGGAGAGAGGTGTGGAGAAAGAGGTGTGAGAGAGAGGTGAGGAGAGAGAGGTGTGGCCCGCCTTGATGTCCTCGAGCTTGGTGGTGAAGAGGCCGGCCGAGGCGGCCGGGAAGCACTGCGGCCCGCAGCAGAGCCCGTACATCACCCGCATCCGCAGCTGCTCCGCCGTCGAGAACTCCATCCTTGGCATCTCGAGAGAGAGCCGCAGCGGCCCCTGATTGGTCGCCATCGCGGCGAGCGAGTTTGGGTTGAGGTTCACGTTCTTCACCTGCGTCGCGCGCACGGGAGCCGCGGCTGCTCAGCCATCGGGTGGCAGTCCAGTCGGTGACACTCCACTCGGTGAGCAGACAGGCTCCTCCTCCCAACCTTCGGCTACGGCGGGCGCCTCGAGCGAGTGGATTTCCCCCACCACGTCCTCCTCCACGCCATCCGCCTTAGCGCCGGGCCAGTGGAAGCCCAGCTTGAGCCGCCCCAGCGTGATCGGAATGATAATTGGCGAGTCCTCGTTCGCTCGGGCTCGCAGCGCGTCATTCACCACCTTGGTGAGCATGCCTCGCTCGTTTGCCTGGTAGATGATGTCGTTGACGTACTTCTCGAGCTGCGGGCGGACGTGCTCGTTGGCCGCCTGGCCTGCGGCGTCGATCCAGCCGCCGACCGCGCCCTGGATGTCTGGCATCGGGACGCCCCAAAAGTCGCGAGACCTGGCCGACTCGTCCCGGTCGATCTGCGAGGGCTTGGGCGGGACGAAGTTGTTCTTCTCGCGCTTGAGCTGCACGTACTTCATGCTAGGCTTGGCCTTGGCCGGAGCGGCCTTCGTCGCAGCGGTGGCGCTCATGGTGGTGCAGCTGTGGGCGCGACTGGGCCGAAAGGCCTCCCGTGAATCCTGCGCCGCGGTGGGAACGAGGAAGGATGACGCTGGAAAAGCGGCGCGTGGACAAAAGAATTCTGGCCCCCAGAAATTTTCTCGGGTACAACTAGGGCCGTCCTCCATCCCTCCCTTGTTCTCTTTTCTCTTTCTTTCTTTAGGAGCATCAATTAACACCACTATTGCTAAATCTCTCTCTCAGAGCTCAGACCTCAGTCCCACAGCCACAGATCTTCTAAAAATCTCTCAGCCACAGCGGCTCTGGACACACTCTGGAGCGGTGCCGGTTTCCCACCATTCCCAGCCGGTTTCTATTTGGGAATCTCCCTCCGGGGGCGGGGGCGGGGGGCGGGGAGAGGAGACGGGCAGACGGCAGCGCTTTCTCGGGAACACGCGGGCGAAAAAAAAACGGGGTGTTATATCCTGCGCCTCAGCGTCGGAAAAGTCGAACTCGGAGTCATACTCGGAAGCAGGCACAGACGGCCGCGGTGATTTGGCAGGCGGCGAGGAGGGGGAGGGGGAGCGCGGCGGTGCGCGCTCGTGGCTCCCGCTGGTGCCAGAAGGGCCAGCGCCCAGCGCGCTCAGCCTGTTCTTGTTCACCTTGGGAGAGGGGGGTGGGGTCCACCTCCCTTGGGTGCGGGCTGGCGGTCAGGCTTGCGCTTGACCGCCTTGCCCGGCGGCTTGCGGCCAGGGTTCCTCATGGTGAACCTGTCCGGCATGCCGCCCTTCCCAACCCTGGTCCACCCCTCGGGCGACTCGTTGGGCTGGGGTTGCTGCACCTGTTGGTGCTGCGGGTGTGCCTGCGGTGCTGCGGCCGGAGCTGCAGCGGCGGCAGGCGGTGCTGCGGGCGGTGCCGCGGCGGAGGTGGCAGCAGGCACAGGCTGCGGTGGGGCACTGCCCTCCTTGGCCTGCTGCCGCTCCCTGTCCCTCTCCCACTGGGACTGGGGCTGGACAATGAACTGCTTGCCCATGGGCGTCGGGTTGACGCTGAAGCTCCACCAGTTGCGCTCCACGGCGAGCTGCGAGAGGATGCGAATCATCGCCTCGTCTTGCGGCGCCACCGCCTCTCCTGTGGCTTGCGCGCACAGTTTGAGCCTGGCCGCAACGGACGGGCCATCGCGAGCCTGCGTCGGCCATGGCCCCGTTTCGCCGTTTTTCCGTGGTGTGGAGTGCGTGAGACAGACGGGTCGATTTTTACGGCGGTCGGCGGGATCCTCTCTCCGCTCAAATTACAACGATCAACAATCTTAAGCAAAAAATGTCTTGTGGCTGTTCCTTCCGCTTTCTCTCTCTGCTCTCTCGCTCGCTCTCTCTCTCCCTCCACCTCCCTCCCTCCCTTCCTCCCTCCCCCCCCCCCCCCCCCTCTCTCAGGAGTGCTCGGCTCACCCTGGCACCGACACATCCACCACAACCACGCTCACATTGTCGTCGCTGCCTCGGTCCAGCGCCGCCTGCACCAGCGCGCGCGCGGCGGCGGCCAGGCCGGGCGCCTCCCCGGCCGCGGCGGCGGGGGCGGCCTCGTCGAGGACGCGAGCCGCGGTGGAGGGCGTGATCCAGTCCCACAGCCCGTCGCACGCGAGCACGAGCTTCGCCCCGCCTCCCGCCTCGCCGCCGCCCGCCTCGCCGCCTCCGGCCGGCAGCTCGACGCAGCGCAGCTCGGGCTCGGCGAGCAGCGAGCCGGCGGGCAGCCTCGCCTACCGGGACGTGCCCGACACGTGTCCGGGGACGTGTGCCCTTCAGCGGCGAGCGGGCGGGTAGCCCAGCCCTCGGAGGCGCAGACAGCCCCCCGAGGACAGCCGCTCGCCTTGAGCTCTGCTTGAAGTGTCTAGGGAAGTGTCTAGGGAAGTGTCTAGGGAAGTGTCCAGGACGGCCTCGCCTTGAGCTCGGCGTCGCCAAAGGCGCGCGAGACGGCGAGCCCGCCGCACCGCCCCGTCGACGACACCTGCCGGAGCGATCCGAGAGGGGCTCAGGGAAAGCGCCGAGGTGGCGACTGCCCTCTCCGCCCCCCGGCTGGCGACACCTCTGCACCAGCCTTCGCGAGCCGCGCCGCCTCGGTCGGCTCGGTCGGCCGGTGGATCGGGCAGAGCAGCTCCGGCGGGGAGGAGGCGCACCCACGCGGCGAGTGCAGCATCGCGTTGCAGTCGCCGAGCTGCAGCAGCTGCAGCCGCCGCCGCGGCCTGTCCACCAGCGCCACCGTGGCGCACGAGCCGTCGTGCCACCCCTGGCGAAGGATCGCCGCCTCCACCGCCGCAAACGCCGACCGCGCCGCCTCCTCGCGGATGATTTCCTCCTCGCCGTCGTCGCCCTGGCCCTCGCCGCTGCCGCCGCCCTCGCTGCTGCCGCCGCCCTCGCCGCCGCCCTCGCCGCTGCCGCCGCCCTCGCCGGCCGCCCTGCGCAGCGCGTCCGGCAGCTGGCGCGCCGCCAGCTTTGCGGCCCGTCTGCCGCCGTGGCCGTCATAGACCGCAAACATGTGCGCGCCGCAGATCGGCGCTCCGACCGAGACTTCGTCCTCCATCGTTGGCCGCCGGCCGCGGGCTGAGGCGCTGCCATACGCCGGGACGTTGGCACGGGAAGGCGCTCCGCACGAGGAGATTGGGAGCGACCACCTCCCGATGGCGAGCGGCGCACCCGGCTCTGCAGGCGCAGCGGCAGCCTCGAGGTACGCGGCACGCGACTCGGCCGTCTTCAACGCCTCGGCAGCGTGCCGCAGCTCGTGCACTGCGGAGGGCCGCTTGCGGAGCGCACGCTTGTACGCCTTGATCACGGCGGCAGGATCGTCTGGCACCGACGAGAGGCCGAGGAGGGCGAGGAGCGGAGCGAGGCCGTCTGCCGGATCGGCAGAGGCCTCTTTTTCCATGTATCGACGTCTTGCCGACTGGACGACAGCGCAGAGCCACAAGAAAAGGCGCTTTGACGGTTGCGGGCGCAAAGCAAGAAAACAGGCGCGACTCACACAACAAGAAGAGAGAAAAGACGGCGCAACACTCTACATACTGGCCGCGGCGACTGCGACCCCGCCAGGGCTAGGCGCCGCCCGTCGCGAAGCGTCGCGCCCACGTGGAGCACGAACGACGAACGCCCCGCCCGCTCCCCTTGCTGGGCCCGGCTGCGCGTAATGATGCAATACTGAGAAGGGGCTGCTGCTATTGCTCACTCTGCCGGAGCCGCCGCTGGCGCCGCCGCGGCCGCGGGCGCGCCGGGCTCGAGCCCCTTGACCTTGCGGGTAAGGAGGGACTTGCGGCGCGCGGCGGTGTTCTTGTGCAAGATGTTCCGCCTATTGAGTACGAAGCGTGGCCGCTCAGCTTCCCGCCTCCCTCTCCCGGCGGTGGGGCGCAGCAGGAGCAGCGCGCTTGACATTCTTGTCAATGATGGCCTGAGCGCGGTTGAGCCGCGAGGAGGCGTCCTGGTAGTCGCCGCCGTCCACCGCCTCAAACACCTGCCCGAGGGGGCCGAGCGCCGCTGAGCCACTCGCAACGTCGAGTTGCAACGGCGGCAGGGCGGGGCTCCATGCACCCGCTTGATGGCGGTTTTCATCTCCGACTTGTACATTTTGTTGTACTCGCGGCGGCGCTTGTTGGTGCGCTGCGGCTTTGTCAGAGCAATCATCGCGGCGGCAGGCTGCCGCGGCGGGGCGACGGCGCGCTGCAGCGGCGCCAGCGGCGTCACGAGCGCTGACGCGCAAGACAGAAGCGCAGACAGCACGAACAGGCGGAGGATGGACATGGCAGGGTCTGACGGGAGGAGGCGAGCTCTCAGGATCAGGCGCGGCGAGCGAGCGCGTGGGTGTGTAGGGCAGCTTTGAGCGGCACTGCTGCAGGGGCGCTCTGCGCTGCGGCGCTGCGGCGCTGCCCCGACCCCTCCCCAAACAGCGAAGAGGTGAAGTGGCGTGGCAGGAGACGCGACTCGCAGCAACGTGGGCGTAGATGCAGCAACGTGGGCGTAGATGTGGGCGCGGGGTGGGCGCGCGGCAGGCGTGCGGGCCTTGCAGGGGCGGTCGTCTAGCTCAGAGCAGCTCGGCCCCACAAAAAGAATTTTGGCGCGAGTGCTCCCCGCCCGTGTGTCCCTGATCGTCCTTACAAGATCCTGCTCGTGCAGGTGGGGACCCTGTCCTTCTCCCACCCCTTGTTTGGTGTGTCCCTTTTCTTTATTTATTTATTCGCCCTCCCGTCGGCGCTTGGTTGGGCCGGAGCTGCTGAATCGGCTCGGGCCGGCGCGAGGGGTGGTGCCTGCGCCCTCCAGAAGGCGCGCTCACGTCGTGGTGCTCGCGGCGGCGCGCGGGGCAGCTCCAACTGTTGGCGAGTCTCAACAGCAGCTTCAGGCAGTGCAGCGCAACGCCAGCTGCCTCTCTGGAGCTGCGCGGCCGAGGGAGGACCCGTGCGATGGCGCCGAGTGGTGGGATCGGGGCGCGCAGTCGGCCCGCTCGCCAGTGGCCAAGTCAGTCTGGCTGGCGAGAAGCGCCAGTGCCTTCTGTCCATTCTGGGCGAGGCCTGACTGCGCGCAATACTATCGCTGCGCCGGTGCGCGGTGGGCGCCCTCGATGCGGATTGCCGCGCCGTTGGTCAACACCGCGGCGCGGGTGTGGTCGGCGACTGCCGGGGTCGTCCTCCCGATGGGGGACTAGCACTAGCCGTCTTCCACATGGTCCCTCGGGTCCCTGCTGCTCCTAACCTCTTCGTACATCCTCCTGCTGATCTCCGCAAAGTCCTGCTCCCTCCCTCGTCTCGCCCTGCGCGTCTGCTCCGCCTCACCGTCTTCTGCCCTGCGTCGTCTGGTGACGGGGCCTCCATAGTCGGTCGAGGTCGCCGCCCTCCTCGTGCCTCTTCCCAACGTTCCCTCGGCGGCCGATGCCGTCTGCTCCAGCTCCCCAGTCCCCGGGTCTGCCCTGCTCTCGTCTGCGCTAGTCTCTGCTTCGTCATCACTGGCGCCTCTCCGCCTCTCTTACTGTGAGAATACAGTTGTTTTCGTTGAATTCTTTCTATGGGAGGGATGGGAAACCTCCATCGCCACAGCAAAGCTGTGCAGAGAGAGAAGCAGAAGCGCGCGCTTCTCGACAGGGGGGGCTTGTTGCACGAGTATATGGGACAAAAGCGTCGAAAATGTCCCAAAAAAGCGTGTCTCGAGTATGTTGCAGCCCCACAGCCGGCGCGCGCTGCCGGGAAGCACCGCTCGCGTGTCGGCCGCACTCCCTGGCACCCAGGGAGTGCGGCCGACCGACCAGACCGAGTAGGCTCGACGCCGCTCTCGCTGTGGGGCTGCAACAAACTCGCCGCCGAGCGTGCCACCGACGGCGTCCCGGCGGAGGTGATGGAGTGTGAGACCTGAGGCTGCGGAGGTGACGCCTGAGGTACCGGTTCGTGCACAGCGACTCAGCCGGCGACCGCCACGGGCTCAGACGAGACCTGTCGACGCGTTCCGGCTCAGCTTCACCGTGGTCATCGGGCGTCTGTCGACGTCAGGACCACCCATACAGCTCGCGGGTTTGAGGTCGCAAGAGCCAAGATGGTGGCGTTTGGACATCCCAACCATCACACAAGACAGCCTATAGGTGATGGCGGGACGGCGCAGTGTTTGTGGCACTCGGCAGTAGGCACCCGCGGCACGGCCCCGCTGTCGGCTCTCGCGGGCTGTGCGGAACCGGCCCCAGAAGGGGACGGTCCGGGCGAGTGTGGCAGCTCCTGCGCTAGTATGGGCACCCTCTATCACAACACTACTGATCCTGGCCATTAGAGCTGCCAGGGATAGCGTCAGGAGCCGGTAGGAGTCAAAACCCCTCATATTTGAGACATCGTGTCCCATATACTCGTGCAACAAGCCGGGGGCGCCACCACGTGGACAGGGCTCCGCGCGCGCACACCCCACACCCCCAAAAAGTTGTCATACGCAACAGCAGCGCGAACCTTTTGCGGTCGGCTTACCCACCAGTATTGTCACGCCACGTAGTCCTCCTCATCGTACTCGTCGACGACTGTGTGATATCGTCGCGGAGAGTCGGGCCCAGGGTTGCGCGGGCGTTCTGGGCGGCCCATGTGCGAACGGCAAAGTTAGGCGCGTGTTTGTTCTTTGCATCCCATTGTGAAACTGCAGGGGAACAGTGCCTTGCCATTACTTGCGATGACGAACTGGGATTCGGTGGTCGACGTTACGAGCTCTCCGTTGCCCTGCGCACCCCCACGCGTGCCGTGGAGGAGACCTGCGCGGCTGGGAGGACGGCAGTGCAGCGCCACCATGTCGCAGATGCCGGCTGCAGAGGAGGCGGCGGCAGCTGATACAAACGAGGCGCTGCTCTCCTTTTCAGACCCGGAGAAAGTCGCGCTCGGCATTCTCAAGCGCGGCGTGCCCGAGATGGCGACACCAAAGGCGGGGTCGACGTGGGAGTCGCTAACTCAGGAGGAAGTGCAGCGTCGCCTGCTCGCGATCCTCGTCGTTGACGGCAAGTACCGTGTAAAGAACCTTCAAAGCGCCTACAAATCGATCAGTGTTTCGGTCCAAACGCGGATCTCTGCAAAATCAGAAGCCGCGTCGAAGCTAGTGGAGGCGCTGCAGACGGAGGAATCGCTCAAGTTCCTCGACTTTCGACTCGATGGCAACCAGCAGATCTTGACGGGCCGTGTCATGCGCTTTCTCATGTCCTCGATTGCCTTCACCGGGAAATTTGCCATCTCGGAAGCGGATCGGCAGGATTGGGAGCGCGCTAGCGGGGAGCAAGACTGGGCGGCGCTCGCCGACGTCAACGAGAAGGCGTTCGGAGAGTGGAAGGAACTCGCGCGTCGCACTCTCAAGGAGGCGACATGGGAGTGGCTGGACGAGTGCGTCGGGATGTCGATGGGGGATGAGAACAAAGTGCACGGCGGCCTCAAGTTCCCCAAAAAGGCGTCGGAGGGGAAAGCTGGGAGGGCTCCGGCGGCGACGGGTGGCTTGCGGGCGGTCGGCGGCGGGGCCAATGGCGACACAGCTCCTCCGGCCGCGGCGCTCGCGCAGTCCCAAGCCGTCGCGCACAGCTTCGCGCCTCATCTCGTCCTGCGGCTGTATGCCGTGATGCACGAACCCCGCCTGAAGCTGGTGGTGGAGACGATGTGGAAGGGCGCCACGCATGATCAGCTCACGGAGAAGGAGGCCCAGGCAGCCAAAAGCCAAGCCCTTCTCACCGAGCTGCAAAATGCGAGCCCCGAGAGAATCAAGGACTTGATGCCTCGTAGCTTGCTGTCTGCGCTCCAGACCCCCTGGAGCCAGCATGACGACATTCGTGAGGCGGCGTCGAGGTGCATCACCGAGGCCTACACCGGCGACCCTGGCGCGCCGCAGCTCGATGCTGTGTTTCTCGCCACTGCGATCGCCAAGATCAAGAAGGCGATAACTCAGGGCAAGGCAGTCGTTGACACTCACGATGCACCTAACACCAAATCGGGCGCGGCGCAGAGGTGGCGGGAGGTCGAAATGGGCGACCTGGCTGACACGATGCTGAATACCCAGTTCAAGACCGATCTCGGCTCGAGGCAGGAGAAGATCCTGACGGCGCTGTTGGGCAGGGTACCCCGCGGCTCGACTAGCACATTTCTTGTCGAAAACCGAAACTGCTCACACGCGGCCATGTAACCGCATAGGTCGGCGCTGTTGGTGACAGCGAGCTCACCAACCGGCTGCCGCGGGAGCCTAATCCTCTCGGCATCGTTGACGCCAGCATTGCCGGCCGCCCTCCGGCGTTGCAGCTTCCGCAGCGCTCACGCGAGCAGAACCAAAAGCAGCGTGGCGGCAGCGGCACCGACTCCGGCTTGCCGGCGGAGTTTCATGGGCAGGTGGCTCAAAGCATCGTTTGGATGGGCGAGGAGGCGAGGCAGAGTGTGCTTGCTTCCGGCGGGCCGCACGTCGGCACTAGCAGCCTGGCTGAGAAGGCGACGGCAGCGGGGCGGGATGCTGAGGCACTGGCAATCGAGCGGCAAAAGTCCGAGACCGAAATGCTGAAAACCATCGCCGGCCTCCCAGAGAGGTTTGCGGCCGTGGCCGATCCCGTAGTGCACAAGATGCTGGGAGGCATTACCAACGCTCTCGGCAAGCCGCGCGAGCCGACGCCCGTGGAGAAGGAGTACGAGGCTGCCCGGCTCGGCGCAGGGACGGTGGCGCCCAACAACTTTGCCCTCGCTTTTCCTATGCACGGCGGCGGCCTCGCCCACCCTCCGTCCGGCTCTGCTCTCCCACAGCCTCCCAATCTTCAACGCGGAGCCTTCCGAGTCCCTGTTGGGGGTGGCAAGGAGCCGCGACGACGCAACACGGCTGAGGCAGCAGGCAACTCTAGCTCCGAAGAAGAGGAGGGTGGGGAGGCCGACGCTTCGAAGGGCGCGGTCATTGCCGCCGCTCCAGCGGCGGCAGCTGGGTCCGGCTACAAGCGGGATCGCTCGCCCTCGGCTGCTTCCGAGGACGGGGTCGTAGAATCCTCGTATCTGTCCCCTCCCTGCCCCAGCCTCGTCCCAGCTGAGCAGACCATCGGCAGCTACGTCGCGGCCAACTACTCGGGCACGGCGGTCAGCATCTCCAAGATCGACTGCCTCGCGCCGGCAGAGAAACCCTTCGCTGAAGATGTCGCTGACTTCTGGGCTGGCTCCTTCTCGCCTTTTGAGGAGGTGCACTGCCGGGATGGTGCCGATGCCGCTCTCATCGCCGCGGCTCTCGACACGGAGTTCCAAGCCCTCGGCGTGCTGGCCTTTGCGCGCGGCGAGGGCGGCAAGACAGACCCTACGCAATGGGCGCCCATTCAGCACGGCGTAATGAAGCAAGCCGTTGCTGCACTTCCGGGGAGCCGGAAAGAGGAGCCGCCGGTCATGACCGAGATTCTCGGCACGACCCCAGGGGATGTGAGGTTACCGACTGCACTCCAAGTGCTCCAAGTGCAAACGCGACATGTCGCCATACGATTAACTCGCAAGACGCAAGCCTCTCGCGTGCAGTGTCGGAGTGTGCGAGTGTCATCTCAGTCATGTGAGAGAGATTTTTAGCAATACCAAACAAATCTAACACTCACACGTAGCCCGGCCAACCCTTCTCCCACAAGACCGGCCACGGCTACGTCAAGGCGCATCGCGGTTTCTACCACGACGCGATCTTTGTCAAGCGCAACAACTTCAACCTGCTGCTCCACGAGACGTTCGGCGGCGGCTTCTCGCCCACCGCCGTTCTCAAGCTGCGCCGCCTCGCGCGCAAAGTCGCGCGCGGCAGCGTCGACCGCACGGCCTACTCGCCCAAGTACTCGCTCTCTTTTATGTCCCACCATGCAGAGCGCATCTCTCTCTCTGTTGTGCGAGGCGTGAACCGCGCCATTCGCTCTCACCTGGCAACCCTGTCTGCACGTCTCGCGCGCGCGTGAACAGGGCTCCAGGCCCCAAATGAATGACGTTGTTTGTCATGTGTGAAGTGTCCCGCTCCAAAATGAATAAATGTCGTGCCACGTGTGGGTGTGCACACGTGCACATTGTAGAGTATATGAGACTGTGTCTGTGACTAGTTGCAAAAAGTCTCACGTGGAAAAAGCACCAAAAACTACCAAAAACGATGTCACGCTCACGGCCAGCTCGGCACTATCTACTCAAAAAAAGTGACGTAGAGCACCCACTTTTTAAGCGTTCCGTGCACACACAAGGTCCGCCTGCGTGCACCGCCAGCTTCTCAGGGCCATCGCGCGAAAAACGACGGAGGAGATGCATCCTAGCTGTCGCCACCGAAGGCGACTCGACGTCGCTGAGATCGGAGATCAAGCTCTGACAGGTCACACGTCGCTCCTTTGACGCCGACGTGGCTCACCCGTGCAGAGCGCATCAGGACACAGTCTCGACGCGCTCGGTACGACGCCTGCGACCCGTCTCGGGTCAGGTGGCACGACGCTCATCGCGCCTGCCAGCGCTGCCGTGCAGGCTGCCACGACGAGGTCGAGCACGCTTCTATACGCTCGCCGAGCCTTCCTTTCCATCCCATTAGGCAGCCTGGGAACGGTGGCGGTCAGAGGCAAAGCCTGCGAGGGGTGGTGGAACCACATGTCACGGCCACCGCCGGCTCGACGCAACGATAGCCTCCGGAGGCTGACTTTGAGGCACCATCATCGGACGATGTCGACGAGTTGGGTCGCTCTCGCGGTAGCCAGGTAGCCCCCCATACTAGTAGCACCAGCCATGGCCTCAGGGAGCGCGGGCGAGGGCGCTGGGAGCAACACGGACAAAAAACATCAAAAGTGGGTCATTTTTCCACATATACACCAGTCACCACCCCCGTATTTGCAACTAGTCCTGTGTGACTGAGACGTCATATAGAGTGAGACTCACGGTTCCTGACGGGCTCCGGCATCCTCTCTCTTTTCAACACTATCGCAAAGCAAGTGCACCAGCTTGACGGTGCGCAAGACTATACCTTAGGTACACAAACTCCAGGCTCTCATCGCCTCGCCTGCTCCGCCCCGCCGACGCTGTCCTCCAGCGCCCGCGCCGCAGCTGCCGCCTTGGCCGCCGCCGCGCGCTGCCCGGCGGACCCCTGCGGCCCGCCCACCGGCCCGCACTCTCTGACCGCGTCGAGCGGGCGGTAGGAGAGCACGCCCTGCGCGTTGGTCTCGGCGGGCTCCAGGTTCTCGGCCCGCGATGCGTGTATCCGCCGCAGGTTCTTGCTCATCTGAATCGCCTGTGCGCCGCGGGCCGCTCCGATGCTGGCGTGCGTGGCGGCGGGGCAGGCGCGGGGGCGCGGCGCGGGCGCGGCGTGCCTTGGGGTAGCGGAGAATCTCGCGCGGCGTCCGCATCAGATAGTCGTCGATCCCGTGCGGCAGCTTCTTGATCTGCTTGATGACGGACGCGACCGCGCGAAAGTGGAGGAAGCGGTTGTACGTCTCGCTCCAAAAGCGCTTGCTCTGCACGTTGGGCTTCCATGTCCGCCGCGACCTGCGGCCGGGGACGGGGAGGGCGGGGCTGGGAGCTCGACCGCGACCACTGCCGGCGCGTGCGTCGTCGCGGGGGGCGGGTGGGGCCACTTTTTGTTGGAGAACGAGATGATGTTTCCAAACTGGATCATCTTTCCGCCGAAGAGGCCGCGTGCTCCGCGCTTGAAGAGATTGGCCACCTTGGCCGAGTCTCGCGGCTTTGGTGCCTGCGCGGCGCGCTTTGCCATGAGCCGCACCGGCGCTGGCGGCTGCATCGGAAGCCGCAGCGTTCGGGCGAGGGCCGAGAGCATATCGAGCTTTCCTCGCTGCGCGTGTGAGCTCCTTCTCGATGGCCCAGTTCCGCGCCCGGTCTGCCTTGCGGTCGTGCCACAAGCGCCAGCGCAGCGCCGAGCTTCGCAGCGGCTCCAAAGAAGAATTCTTGAGATACAAGCCTCTCTCACAGCACACTGGCACGACAAGGGCGCAGACTGGCGCGGACTGGCACACACACAGGCTCACCACCGGAGCCGCCTAAGCGACTCCGTTAAGAACGGCAATGCACTCCGCACCATGCACAATGCCGCTCTCCCCGCACGCTAGCTCGTTCACCGTCTGCCACGCCACGGCGGTGTGGAGGACGACAGACAAGCGCTGCATCTGCAGCCCGTGCCAGTTCTTGGTGGTCCATGTGACCTCGTCCAGGTGCTGAGCGTGCGAAAGTTTGTTGCTCAGCTGGTTCGCCGCCTCCCTCAGGGTGCTGCGAACCTCCTTTCCAAAGCCTCCGAAAGCCTCAAAATCAAACAAACGTAGATCGCAATCCTGCTGCCGCGCAAAGGGGTAATCGCCAGGCTGCTCCGTGAGCTTTCCCTTGGGGGCATCCTCCTCCTCCCCCTCCTCCCCCTCCTCCTCGGCCCCCTCCTCCTCCCCCGCCACCGCCGCTGCCGTCGCTTCCGACGGAGACCACTTGCCGCGCCCTTTGACCAACTTGAGCAGCCCGGTCTCCGTGTTGCCAAAGCGCACATAGGCCCCCTTCCAGCCGAGCCGAATTTCACCCTCTCCATCCTTGCCCTTGCTGTTGCTCGCGAGCGAACTCGTAAGCTTCAGGGCGGCCGCGGCGGCAGGGGCGGCAGCGCAGGGGGCGAGCGCACAGGCGAGGGCGAGGGCGAAAGCGGGGACGGGGCCGGCGGGAGGCGCGAGAGGAGGGCAGGAGGGTGGCCATCACCCGACCACACACCCACTGGCGCAGGGGGCGGCCTCACCTCTGGCCCGAGGGCCCGCGCCGCAGGCGGCGGGGCGCCCGCCTCCGCCGCCACCGTCTCGTCCGCCGCATCCTCGGTGGAGGCAGGAGCCCGCGCCTCGTGCTCGGGGAGGGCAGAGGCATCCGGCGAGAGGAAGGCGCGGAGGTCGTAGGCCGAGCAATTAGCGATGTAGAAGAGGACGTGCCCGTGGCAAAGTCGGCGCTTCGAGGGGTCCGAGCAAGAGGAGCAACAGCAGGCGAGAAAGAAACCCGCGAGCTCCCGCCGGACGCGCTCGACAAAAGCAGGGCTGGCCCGAAGGCGCGCAGCAAACTCGCGGACGCACTCCCTGCGCCCAAACGAGTCGCGGGGATCGCGAAGGGGGAAAGGGTTGCCCCAGGGAGACGAAGCGCACTGCGCGCCCAGGTCAAACCCGGACCTGAGTCGCGGGTGGACGCAGCCCTGGCAGCCGCCGCATCGCATGACGCTCCGCCACTCGCCGCCGCCTCGCGGCCTCGCCCGCCGCAGCTCGCTCTGGTTCCCCACCCGCCAAAGAAGAATTTAACGACACTCGCGCTCACAGCACGAAAAATCTGAGGGACGGCCGTACTTTGCGCGTGCGCGCGGCCTGCTATGCACGCGCCCGCCCCGGCGGAGCGAGCGGCCGGCCGCGGACCTGACCAGCCTACTTCTGGGCCGTCCTCACTGGCTTCCGCCGCCGCCGTCGCCCTCGCAGACCCGCCCGCCATGCTCGCCGCAGCGCCTGCGCACACGCCACAAACGCCATTTCATGAGCCCACAGATCCGCCAGCTCTGGGCGAGGGCCAGCCGGGCACGTCAGCTCCCACCTCGCAGCAGCCAGCGCAGCAGCCCTCGCAGCAGCCAGCGCAGCAGCCCTCGCAGCAGCCAGCGCAGCAGCAGCAGCCCTCGCAGCAGCCAGCGCAGCAGCAGCAGCCCTCGCAGCAGCCAGCGCAGCAGCAGCAGCCCTCGCAGCAGCCAGCGCAGCAGCAGCAGCCCTCGCAGCAGCCAGCGCAGCAGCAGCAGCCCTCGCAGCAGCCAGCGCAGCAGCAGCAGCCCTCGCAGCAGCCAGCGCAGCAGCAGCAGCCCTCGCAGCAGCCAGCGCAGCAGCAGCAGCCCTCGCAGCAGCCAGCGCAGCAGCAGCAGCCCTCGCAGCAGCCAGCGCAGCAGCAGCAGCCCTCGCAGCAGCCAGCGCAGCAGCCCTCGCAGCAGCCAGCGCAGCACCCCGCTCCCTCATACGCTTACGGTGCCTCCAATGACTTCGTTGAGCTCATGCAAGTCAACCAGTGTGGCGACATCCAGACGAGCACCACCCTCATCTTCTCACCACCACGAACCACGATGGGGCCGCTCACTGTGCAGCTTCCACTGTTCATCACCCCCCCCCATCTATGCGGCTACCTACCGAGTGGCCCTTTGCATCGCCGACAACGGCGCGCTTCTCGTCCCGAACCACGGCAACGACTCTGTCTTCCGAGACACCGACCTCGCGACCCAGCTGGAGGGCCGCAACCTCTTCCACGACGACACCCAAACCCTCCTCTCCCGCCTCACCATTATGAACCCCTCTGACGTGCAAAACGGTAGGCCGGTCGCTCCCCCGTCTTTGGGCCCTGTTGAGTCGTTCCGGAAGTTGAAGTTGGCGCATCACAAAGAACCCAAATCCAACCCTGCCAACCGAGCAAGCCCATGGATCCACACACCGCGACGCAACGCCAGGATATGTACCACGTCGACGGGGGAAGTAATTCCTCTACTCGAGTAGCCTACTGAAAAATAATTTTACAACGCCTCTGCTCAACAAATCTGCTCTTAACATGTATGTATGTAGGAAGGTGAAGAACAGCCAGGCTCGGACTGGACACCAACGCGGTATGGGTGGACGCTGGACAGATGATGACGACACGCACGAGCGACACACAGACACAAACAAGCTCACAAGACACGTATGTATGTAGAAAGATGAACAACAGTCAGGCTCTGAATAACTCAAGGCCGCGCCCCTCCTCCTGTCGCCTCCCCCAGGCACAGCTACTGAAAAAGAAAAACCGGAAATTCTGTCCTCCTGGTGGACCCAAGATCGCTTGGTGCGCCAGCATCGGCCCTTGCCTCTCCTCTCCCCTCCCTGCTCTCCCCGCCAGACACCCCGAGCAGCGCCCGCACCCGCGCCCGGCACCGCCATCCTCACCCGCCGGGCCCGCGTTGCACACACCCTGCGAGCCTGCGCGCGAGGCTGAGCCTTCCGCACATGTTGCAGCTGCGATGGCGCTTATCGAGTACCCCACCAAGCTGCACGAGGCCGCCGCAAAGGCGGAGACCTCCACCGTGGCGTCGCTCATCAATGGCGACTCGATCAAGGAGGTTGACTCCCTCAACCAGGCGCGGGCAACATGCCGCGACCGACCACGCACACCTCGCCTGCCTCTCGCCCTGTCCCGCCGCCTCGATGCCGGCGTCGGCGTCCTTCCGACCCCGCCCGCCGCGCCGCCGCAGACGCCGCTGATCATGTGCGTGCGGGGACGCGCGGAGAATGAGGCCGCCGCGGAGAACATTGCAGCCTGCGCCAAGGTGAGCCACTGCCGCCGCCACCGCCGGCTGAAGCCCTCCGCCGCCACCCCACCGCCTCCGCCCCCACCGCCTCCCCGCCGCCGCCGCCGCCCCGACAGGCGCTGATCGGCGCCGGCGCCGACGTCAACACCCCCGACAAGTACGGCGACACGCCGCTGATACTCGCGGTGATGGACGGGGCCGGCGTGCCGAAGACTGCGACCGTCAAGGTGCTCATCGACGCGGGCGCAGACGTGATGCAGGCGAGTCCGCGCGCCACACACACACACACACACCTCCCCCGGTTTTTCGCGGGAATGGCGCTGCCCGG